CTCACCACTCCCTTACCCCTCCCCTCACTTACCCATTTACCCCTCCCCTCACTACTCCCTTCCCACTCCCTCATTTACCCATTTATCCCTCCCCTCAACACTCCCTTTGCCACCCCCTCACTTGCCCACTTACCCCTCTCTCCTACAACACCCTCCCCTTACCCACTTACCCCTCCTCACTATTCTCTTCACCACCCCCTCACGTAGCTACTTACTCCACCTCTCACCACCCCCTCGCTTTCTCACTTACCACTTCCCTCGCCACCTCCCCTCACTTTCTCACTTACTGTTCCCCTCACTGCCCACATCATCGTGCCCACCCCCCACCCCTTGCCTACTTCCCATTGCCCTTACCCACTCCTCACCGTCACACTTACCTGCTCGCCGTTGCCCCAGTGCCAGTTCCCTTCCTCACCCCAATTGCCGACTGGGCCTCCCCTCTGCTTTGGGAGGCCAGGGAAGCGGGTGAGGCTCCTACAGATTTCTAGCAACCATGGTTTGTCTTGTTTTTGCAGCTCTTTGGCCCTTGATACTTGCCCTGATAGCACGTCCCCCACTGGAAAAAACTTCCTTCGCTTCCTGTCAATTGCATTTGTGAAACAACTACAAGTGGCCCATTTTTGGCATGTTTTTTTCCATGGGGTGAGTAGTGAGTCAAGTGAATGGAAGTTGTATTGTAACCACTATCACTAAACATCAACGATAGACATTTGACTGTTTGTTGTGTGTCACTCAGCCTCTCTCGCTGTTAAACCAAGTTGCTTGTTTTTCTAGACAATCAGAATGTGTTGACCTCTCTTATCAGCGTGCAGACTTATTTCGAGGACATATGTGTCCTGCCTTTTCTCACTGAATCTGTATGCCTCTGCTGTCTTAAAACCAAGGACTGTTTTAAGTTTATTCATTTCATTCTTATCAGTTATTTTTGGCATTTTATAGTGAATTCTGTACAGGGTGCCTTTTTGTGCAAAGTGCACAGTTTCCTGGGGGTGTTAACACCTTTGCCTCTCAGTTCCAGGAATATGTCAAACATTGCCTTGTGAATCGTGATGTTATGAATCACACAGCAGGTTAAGTCAGATAGACCTGATGCAAGAAGCCTCAGAAGATGCCAGAGGTGATGCCTTGAATGCTGAAGTGCCCATTCCTGGAGTAAGGGAAGCAGATGAAGCAGCAATAAATTATCCCAGCACATAGTTCAACAACATCAACTTAATTAGCGCCTTGGATGTAATCAAATCACCTGAGATATTTCACAGAGTATTATAAACAGAGGGTTTTGTAGCTGATGACACCTAGCTGTATAAAGAGGTATTAGGAGGATAAGCAAAAAGCTTGGTCGAAGAGGTAGACTTGAAGAAACATCTTGAAGGAGGGATGCAGGGTAAAGAGGTGTAGAGAGGGAATTCCACAGCCTAGGGTCTAGACAACTGACAATACAACCAGCAATATTGGAGAAATTAAAATCACAAATACTAACGAACTTCAAACTGGAAGAACTGGCACAGATACCTCAGCTGGTGTGGGACAGGAGGAGATGGCAAGAGCTAGGAAGAGGCAAGGTCGTGGAAGGGTTTCAAAACAATGATGAGAATTTTAAAATCACAATGTTGCTTGACCAGGAGCTAGTGTGGGTTCGCTTCCTTCACCATCGATGCTTAGTAACAGCAATGTCGACCAGATGCACTGCAGCATCTCACCAAGGGCCTTTCGACAGCACCTTCCAAATCCACAAACTTTTCCACCCAAATGGACAAGGGACACACTACCACCTTCAAGTTCCCCTCCAAGCCACTCACCATGCTGACTTGGAAATATATGGCCATTGCTTCAACATCACTGGGTCAAAATCCTGGAATTCCATCCCTAAGGGCATTGTGGGTCACTCCATAGCAGGAGGATTGCAATTGTTCGAGAAGGCAGCTCACCCCCACCTTCTCAAGGGCAGCTAGGGACGGGCAATAAATGCTGGGGCCAGTCAGTGATACCCACATCCCATGAATGAATGGGTCAAAAGGGGAATGAGTTTGCTGTGAGTAAAGACACAAGCAGCAGAGTTTTGAGCAGCCTTGCGTTTATTAAGGCTTGAATATGGGAGGCCGGCCAGGAGTTTATTTGAACAGTCAAACTAGAGATAGCTAATGCATAGTTAGTGTTTTAACAGAAACGGACATCCCAATAAATCATCAATGTTATGTGTGTATCTTATCCAGCAAAAGATCTGCCTCCTCTCATTCAGCTTCACCATGGCTTTAAGTAATATCCTTGGCCATGACAGATGACCATCACATCTTCGTTCTCAGCCCCACCAACAACAGAACTAAGTGGCTCTTATATTAAATGTTCCAATGGTTCGTTGCAACTCTTCACCAAGACAGAAATACTTGAATTCCTAGTGACATGCATCCTATATAAGCCCATAAAACCAAAAGATATAGGAAAAAGAATGGGCTTTTGGCCCTTCTGACATTCCTCACATCCACTTTCCTGCCTTTTCCCTGTGGTCCTTGATTCCCCACCTGATCAAGAATCTATCTATCTCAGCCTTAGATATAGACAATGACTCTGCCCCCACAGCTCTCTGTGGTAAGGAGTTCCAAAGACTTTTAACCCTCTTGAGAAAGGAAATTCCTCCTCATTTCAGTCTTAAATTGGCACCCCTTCATTCTGAGACTATGTCTTCTGGTCCTAGGCTCTCCCATGAGGGGAAACATCATCTCAGCATTTACCCTATCAAACCCCTTAAGAATCCTATATGTTTCAATGAGATCACCTCGCATTCTTCTAAACTCCAGTGAGCAAAGTCCCAATCTGTTTAACCTTTGCTCACAAGACAATCCCCCTGTATTGGGAATCATCCTAATGAGCTTTCTCTGAGCTGCTGTATGGAAACATTGAGTGTCCAAACCTTTTGTGGGTTCAGTGCATCTGCCCACAGGTAGGTGTTCTCTCCATGTAATGACAGTTTGGAATTAAATTACAATGTTTTGACATTATTGTACTCATGTTTATTGAAGATGTAAATTACAGTGACATAGCCCTTAAACGCTGATTTCAAGCCTTTCCCTTTCTGCAAAATTTATTTTGAGAATACCATAAATGTCACTTCCAGGGAATTCAATTTAGTATTTAACCACTGACAAAGCTATAAGCTAGTCACTAAAATAATATATAACATTTATACATACAGTAATGTTGTACTTCATCAAAACTCTTCAATTAATATTAATCCTAATTGTATTAAAACATGAATCGTAACCTATTAATATTAAACAAAATAAATTTAGATGAGTTTTCATTTCATACTTTAATTTCTGAATGTTTTTAGTTAAACTCTGGGTGCAAATGACTTCTTCAGAGAATGATCTGGGGAGAGTTGTTATGCTCAAAGGAGTTGAAGTAATATTCACTGTTGGGTTAAAAAGACCGCAAAGCAGTTTCAATTAAATTCTGCAACTACTGTATTGATATTAATTTAATCCCATCTGTCACAGAAAATCCTTCAAGCTAGTTCCTTCAAAGAGGTCACCAACAATTCTCTTTAAACAAAAATAATCAAGAAGCCAACAGAGCTTAATAAAAGCATGCTAGAAATCAAAGGTTTTATTTACTTACAGAAGTACTGAGACTGAGACTCTTTTGTTTTATTCATTCACAGGATGAGGGCATTGCTGGCAAGGCAGCATTTATTGCCCATCCCTAATTGCCCACAGGGTAGTTAGGAGTCAATCACATTGCTGTGGGTTTGGAGTCACATGTAGGCCAGAACAGCTAAGGAAGGCAGTTTCCCTCCCTAAAGGACATTAGTGAGCCAGGTGGATTTTTCCAACAATCAACAATGGATTCACGGCATAATTAGACTCTTAATTCCAGATATTTCTTTAAAACCAATCAGAATTTGCAGTCTCTTGAATGTTGTAGACACTTAAACTTAAAAATATTGTTCAAATAGATATTGTCTTTCAGACTAAATATGATGATGTGTGCAGTGACTTTGATAAAATTCAACATTTTAATCTTTTATACGACAAAAACACTCAAACGTGCTCCATTTTTAGCTATCGGTTTTAACCAACTTTATAGACAATGTAACAAAGTGAATACTCTAATAGACTGGATTTTACAGTAGCAACATACCACCACTATTTTCGAGAAAATTGGAGAGCAATATCCAGCGTCTGCATGTCAGCAGTTAAACTCATAAAGCAAAAACTTGCTTTTCAACTTGTCATCAATAAGCTTTGCAAGTATCTTGCCTAGAGACTTGGAATTCAAATACATAAAATGCATGAAGGTACTGTATGTATCTGGGGTGGCACAATGGCTCAGTGGTTAGCGCTGCTACCTCACAGCATCAGGGACCAATATTGAATTCCACCCCTGGGCGAATGTCTGTGTGCAGATTGCACATTCTCCCTGTGTCTGTGTGGGTTTCCTCCGGGTGCTCTGGTTTCCTCCCACAGTCCAAAGATGTGCAGTTTAGGTAGATTGGCCATGCTAAATTGCCCATCGCATCCAGGGATGTGCGGGCTAGTTGGACTAGCCATGGAAAATGCAGAGTTTTAATTTTATTTTTGATTTTGATTTTCTCAGGTGTACCAAAATACAGTGAAAAGCTTTGTTTATGAACGGTGCAGGGAGATCACAGCAAACAAAGGATGTACAGATCAAAAAAGACTGAGAGACATACAGGTTATGTCGCAGGTTACATCATTTGAGGCTAGAGTCTATGCAACAGTCTGAAAACAGTTGGAAAGAAGCTGTTACTGAACCTGCTTGTGCGTGTGTTCAGGCTTCTGTATCTTCTGCCTGACGGAAGAGGTTATAAGAGATCATTACCGGGGTGTGATGGGTCTTTGATGGTGTTGGGTGCCTTTCTGTGGCAGCAAGCCATGTGAATAGGGTCCACAGATGGAAAGCTGGCTACCGTGATGGTCTGGGCTGTGCACACCACCTTCTGTAGTTTCTTACGTCCTGTGCAGAGCAGTTGCCATACCAGGCGGTTATGCACCCGGACAGTTTGCGTTGTTGTGCATTGTTGACAGTCACATTTATGTCACTCTGAGGAACATGATGCTCTTCACTCTCTCAACCTCAGTCCCGTTGATGTAGATGGGGGCATGTTCTCCTCCTTTCTTTCTGAAGTTGATCAGTTCTTTAGTTTTGCCGACGTTGAGGGACAGATTGTTTTCATTGCACCATGTCACCAAGCCCTCTATCTCCCTTCTCCATTATAACTCATGTTTGTTAGATATCCATCCCACTACAGTGGTGTCATCAGTGCACTAATAGATGGCGTTCATTTGGAATTTGGCAACGTAGTCGTGGGTGTACAGGGAGTACAGCGAGGGGCTGACGACGGATCCTTGGGAGACTCCAGTGTTGAGGGTTATTATGGAGGAGGTATAGTTACCTATCCTCACTGACTGCGGCCTATGGGTCAGGAAGCTGAGGGTCCATTTGCAGAGGGTGGAGCAGAAACCAAGGTCACGCAGCTTTGAGATCAGTCTGGAGGGGATAATGGTGTTGAAGGTGGAGCTGTAGTCAATGAGCAGGAGTCTGATGTAGGTGGCTTTATTGTCCAGATGTTCCAGGGATGAGTGCAGGGCCAGGGATATGGCATCCTCTGTGAACCTGTTATGTCGGTAGGCAAATTGTAGGGAATCTGGGAGACTGGCGTTAATGTGGGCCATGACCAGCCTCTTGAAGCACTTCATGATTATTGAAGTCAGAGCTATTGGGTGGTGATCATTAAGGCACACTGCATGTGTTTTCTTGGGTACAGGGGTGATGGTGGCCTTCTTGAAGCAGGTGGGGACCTCGGCTTGTAGGAGGGAGAGGTTGAAGATTTCGGTGAATACCTCCACCAGTTGGTCCACACAGGATCTGAGTGCTCGGCCGGGGACACCGTCCGGGCCTGTTGCTTTCCTTGGGGTGACTCTCAGGAAGAGACTGATCCGACTTCTGAAGCGGTGACAGGGGGAACAGGTGTGTCTGGGGCTGTTGGGGCAGGCGTTGCCACGCAGGTGGGATTCTGCTCAAACCAAGTATAGAAAGCATTGAGCATGTCAGGGAGGGATGTATCATTGTCTGCCATCTTACACTGTTTCATTTTGTATCCCGTAATGTCATTTAGGCCTTGCCATAGACAGCGGGTGTCTGTTTGGTAGGTCTGGGCTTCTAACATGGTCTGGTACTGCCTCTTGTCCTCCTGATGGCTTTGTAAAGGTCATGTCTGGATTTTCTGTATTGGCCTGGGTCACCTGACCTGAATGCTGCACGCCTGGTCTTCAGAAGGGAGTGGATTTCCTGGTGCATCCAAGGTTTACGGTTGGGGAAAACTTGGACTGACTTCTTTGGTACAGAGTCCTCCACACATTTGCTAATGAAGTCGGTGACTCCGCTAGGTTTTCCGCTGAACAATTGCACATGGTCCAGGCCACCGGGTCCAAGCAGTCCTGGAGACTGCTTTTGGTCTTAGGGTAGGGGGTGTGGTCCTGGGTTGGCAGCTCTTCAGAGGGTTAGTTGGACTCAATGGGCTGAACGGCCTACTTCCACACTGAAGAGATTCTTTTAAAAAAACTACTATTTGCCCAATTAACCTGCTAGAGAAAGCTAGGATTGTTGTATTCGGGTGTGACATTTTAACAGTGTGATAAGTATTAATTTTTATCAAACAGCTCTGTGCCATAATTTATGGATTTTAATTATTGAAGATAGTTTTGAAATTGAAAGGTCAAAATTTTTTATGGCTTTTTTCCATGTATCTCATTGATCTCTGTCTCTTAATTCCATCTTTCTTCCTCTCTTTTTATCCACCTTTCCGTCAATAAATTTACATCGATGTAAATGTCATAACTTATATTTCCTGCTTCAGATTTGTATGCCTCAGAAATGATTCCTCAATGTGATTAGTTGAGGAGACACACCACTGATAGTCCTGTTCACCCTGCACAGATTCCCAGAAATGAGTAACTTGCAAACTAAAAATTCGAAAGGTAATCACACATAAATTCCTGCAGGCTCAAATGAGCCTGTATCTATGTGGTTCTGCACAGCAATGTATTACATTATCGATACCAGTAAGTTGCTGCACAAAAAAAACCCACAACATGACTGTGGGCAGATGTAAAGATAATGAACAACTGCTGATTGTTTGCATTGGGCTGCAACGTATAGGCCATTCTGTTTTCTGTTATGATACCTAAATTCTAGGGGCTGCATTCATTGACAACACTGAGATGCAAGTAAAGAAATAGGTTTTTTTTTCCCGCCAAGCAGGAAATGAGTGATTTATCCCTCAAAAAACTTCACAAAAACAGCTCCTGTGGCCATCCAGCTTCCTATGAATGATTACTGTCCTCACATTGGTGACAAGATTTCAAAGTGCTCCATTAGGTAAAAAGCATTGGGCACCTAGAGATCATGAAAGACACTGCTTTTCCTCTCAATGTTCATGTCATCTCATTCATTGCTTTACGTAGAGGCTGTGAAGGAATAATAACTTCATGAAGGATGAGGGAGAACAAAGACAGTTGGAGGAATTCTCTAAGTAAATGGTTGGCCTCAATATGTTGGTTTGGCTGAGAGCCCAGTTGCTTTCAAGGAGTCTCCCCGCAGTGGTTCTGTTTTGAAAGCTAAACCGAGCTATTTATTTTAAGAAGTTAGAATAAATTGTTCTTTCTGCGATCTCTTTTGTCAATGTCTCAGTTTATATTGGAAAAAAGATTTTTGAAGCCTATGTCATTGATAATTTAATGATCTATTCAATTGATGCAACATTTAAGGCACCTATTTTCAAATTCTACCAGACCTAATAATATGAAAAGTAAACACTAAAGTCATACTATAAATAAGGTTTTGACAAATTAAACAAGTACAGTTGTTAGGCTCTTTAAATTCACTTGCGTTTTTTTCCCCAGATAGCAACCCTAGAATCCCTTTTTAAATGGGCAATTTTTTAATTCATTCAAATGTGGTAGAAACGATTGAAAATACAGCATAAAATCACAAGTTGAATCCATTCGGCTTGCTGATTTTTATGCAAGAATAGGAATCATCGACAAAGTGGGTAGAGATCTGTAGAATGAAGGAGAAAAGAAACTGGGATTGTCTTCCTGAGAGGAGAGAAGGTTCGGGTAGATTTCACATGGGACATTCAAAATGATGATATGTTTTGGTAGAACAAACTGGAGCCAGACACTGGATGGACCCACTTGAAGCTATTGGAAAGGCAGGCAGTGGAATTGGGCAGGAGACACAAATGAAGATTCCTGACAGCGAATCAAAGTTTATAGGCAGGTCACACTCCTGATCCTCATGCTTGGAAACCATTAGAAGGTATGAATAGTCATTAACATCCCAACCTATTGAAATTAATTCAATGGTTGCAAACTTACTAGCCAAAATAAGGAAACTGATGTGTTCACAAACCATAATCCATGAGATCTGTAACTGTTGAGGTAGATTTCTTCCTCTAAAGTCTTGTGAGTATAAATGTGTTCAGTTTTTTTTATTTCAAAAAATATACTTTATTCATTAAAATATCTTTGTATATATACATTGTCACTAATGCAGTTCAGTGCTGTACAGTTGCATATCAAGTGAACAAACAAACATTTGAGTTTGACTCTATCCCAACAAACCAAAGGCATCTCTTACACACACAAGGCTATATTAAATGCATTGAGGAACTGGGAGGGTCCAACAACTGAATGGACCCCCAAATAACTTCAGCAGGAAGATCTCAAACAGTGGTCCCTCCTGTGTTTTCTATTTCAAAAAATATACTTTATTCATAAAAAATATACAAATGTGTGCAGTTACTTGGGTCCTTTATAACCACGGCATTTCTTTTTATAAACACCAGAGTGCTAAGGATGGAGTCTCTCGTTGTTGATCAGCCCACCACACATCACAGACATAGAGAGACTGGCTTGTTGTTGTTTACAGTGTTTGGGGTGAAGCCTCACCAGGCCGACAAGCCTGTCCAAACAAGGCAGCCTCGCTGGCTAGTGCCAGCAAGCTTGACCCGGGGCAAGCAAGAAAGGCTCACTCATAGGACTGTCTATTGAGGTGCTCTCCTTGTCCCTTGTGAGCCTTTGGTGGAAAGCTGTCAGACGTGGATGTTCTCCTTGTTGTGAGGAAAGGTCAGGGACCTCGTGGCGTGTGAGTTGCTGAGTGCTGTAGCTCCTTTTCTGTTTTAAGTGGGAACCCTGGCAGAAGTACAAGAGGCAGTGCCGCTGTTGTGCCAGTATGGTGACATTGGTAGCTGTGACAAACTGTCAGGTGCTGATTGCACATGAGGCACCGGAAGGAGATGTCTGACCCTCCTGTGTTCCAATCCTCTGCTTTGTTAACTCACCCTCATAAGGGCATGAAACTTTGGGTAGACAGTGGCACTTAGCCTGGCACAGTGCAGAAGATCAACATTCTGCTTGTGGCACTGGAGGTTCTGCTCAGCTGCCAACAGGAACTGCCCTCTGCTGCCACCTCTGGTAGGCAGCTTCCATAGTCAGGATACCCATAGTTGACATCAATGGAGAAGAGAACATCCCTACCTCCTTGGACATTCCTCAGGATAGTGTCTAGAAAGGCATCACGGATTTATGGTGAGACAGTAAGAACTGCCGATGCTGAAGTCTGAGATAACACAGTGTGGAGCTGGAGGAGTGCAGCAGGCCAGGCAGCATCAGAGGAGCAGGAAAGCTGACATTTCGGGTCGAGTGCTGCGTTTATGATATTTCCAGAGATGGATGGAGGAGTGAGGAGCAAAGGTTGCACAAACTGAAATGCTCTCCGAGAGCATATTCAAAGATGGTGCCCAAATATTAGTCCCTATTATGGACCAGACCAAACCCCCTCAAAATATGATCAAGGAAATAGCCTAGACCCTAAATTTTATCTCATTTAAGTCTAAGGTAGCATGTTCAAGATGTGATTCGATTGGTCGATGACTAGGGTTTAAGCAAAACACACTTTTTTCTTACAACACAGCTGAAATATAGACAAAAAATTGGCTTATCTTTAAATCTATTGAAATATTTAGTAGAAATATATATCATTTAACTACTAATCATCAACTGTTCCGAAAGAGCAGCATCCCATAAGCACGCCCTTGGAAAAGGCAAATTTAGCAAAACAGACGTTCCTCGTGCTAAATCCTCCAGTCCAGGAGAACAGAACACTGAAAGAATCAAAGACAACAAGGTGTAGAGCTGGATGAACAAAGCAGGCCAAGCAGCATCAGAGGAGCAGGAAGGCTGACGTTTCGGGCCTAGGCCCTTCATCAGAAATGG